TTACGAGGGTAATATGCGCATGCGTCTCTTCACACGGCCCAGCAATGGCGGAGAATTTGAGTCGGAGAACACTTCGGACCATTCAATGTTCCATTTGTTAACACTGTAAACTGTAAAAACGTCTTTTTTTTTCTTCGTAAATTATGAAAAGCCCTTTTTATTTCCCGTAAAACCGTACCAGCTACCCCCCTTGCCTCCCCTCTGTAAATCAAGAATATATCATTAACTTTAATAATCCATGCCCCAAAATCACTAATACATGTCTCTGAATAAAGAATTCTCTGTCTGTTATCGCATTCAGGCTTGAAGCCCGGATAATGAGAAACACATTTGAACAAACTAGCTCGTCATTTGGTTACATAAGTGTCACATGAAAAACTAATGTCAAAATCACTAAACCAGTAATTTCCAGAAAAAAACGTCACAACTGTTTGAACAACCCGTTTTTGAAATGTTTACAGATAAGTGTTTTCCAGTGCAGTAAATCACCACTAGCTAACAAATTTGATGGGCCATTATTCTATGACAAACAATCGTATCGCACAGATGCATTCGCTTCTGTCATTGTTTTGTGAATCATGTAAACAAATGTAGCAACTACATGAATGATTTGTTCTAATACTACAGTAATACTAGAATTGTTACAATTTATTGCAGAACATATTAATGATGCTTATTTCAAACTAAAGGGTGCAAATTTGTTATGTAAATATACTAATTAAGGAATAACCCATTGTTAAACATTACTGTCCAACTGCTATAGTTGAGTGCATATGATTGAACACAATAAACAATCAAATAAACTCTTCACCTAAGCCTCTAAAGTAATGCAAAATTGTGCAAAAACATATTTTTTTTAATTTATTAATTCATAACAACCTACTGGAGGAGGTTAAAAGCTACAAAAGAAAATTACAAAAAAAAAAATTTAATCAAATTACAATGGCACAACCAAAAACAGACTAAATGGAATTAGTAACTGAAAAAAAAAATATAATAAAATAAAATAAAATACATATATTTTGTTTTCTCGGTTGCTACTGCCTCGGTACATTAAACAATAGATGCTTTTAACAATGATGTTAAATTGACCTCAGTTCACTGGCCAAAGTCCCAAGGCATATTTTACATGTTTCTATTGTTGCACCAGTACAATAACATGGAAGTCGCACAGATTTCGATTGCACAAAGTAATGTTTTGATTAGGGATCAACCATTTCATAAGTGAGGTAGGTCAAGAAGATTTTTGAAAAAAAATGAACAAAATGTTAAGGGAATTGTGATTGGGGAGGAATCTTTCAAGTTGCCACGTAACTGGAAGGAGATCCATCACTACAATAGATAAGTGTTCTTTTCGTATACGTAAATCAATAAAGCACTGCTAACTGTCCCTCTCCCTTCTCCTTGAAAGAAATTGCTATAGCCCAGAGACACTCCGATTTATTAGAACAGTTACCAGACACAATAGATACTAAAAGAAACATACAAATTCAGAATAGCTAAGCAAAGCAAGCTGAGTGATTTCTTTAGTAGGAAATGAGACTCAAACTGCTGCTGAACATGAACTTTACTGTACAAATCTTCAAATATTTAATTTTCATAATACTCATTATTGTGCAATGATCGATTTTTGTAAAAATGATTTTAGTTTACATACCGGGGGTAATACAATGGGGTTGCGAGATCTGTTTTAATACATTGATTCAGTGCCTAATTAATATTCATGAATAAATTAGTGAACCTGTATAGAAAGGCCACCTGTCTATAAAGGCCAAAATTTTAAAGTCCCTTGGGTGGCCGCTATAGACAGGTTTGACTGTACACACAAAATACTATAAGCAGAATATAAACAAATATATATATATATATATATATATATATAAGTCAATGACTAAGTGGGTACTGCTGTCTAATGGCGCTGTTTTTTTTACATATTGTGCCAAAGGTATTGTTAAGTTATTATTTGACATTATTTTTATGACTTTATTTTCAGATTTGTAAAGTCAGCGATAATCTTTTCAGCTTCTTTGTGTAAAATGATCTTCTCTTTACTATATACTGGGCATATTATAAGTGGTGTTCATCTTCAATATCAGTTTTGTTTAGGTGGTTGGTATATTTTATTAACTGCCTTTGAATGAATGAATCAATGGGATATCTACCCAACTCACTATAAATTCCGGAACGTTTTTTGAAACGCCTAGGATGAGGCAGCAGAAGCTGAGATGTACATCTTCTATAGTAGAGTTGAATGAACTTTCTTCAGCCCAGACTTCACATCTATATATAATAAGAATTGGTCTTATTAGTTTATCAAACAATGATAACAATAGTGAGGGACTGAGACTTTTATTATGACCTAATTTGGCTTTCAAAGAGAATAATGCTTTCATTCCTTTGTATTTCAGATGTTTCATAGCAGCTTTAAATTTTCCATTGAGAACAATACCTAAATAATTATAATTTCTCACGATGTTAATCTTATTCCTTTCAAAAAAGAATAATTCACTGTAATAGAGTTTATTATTTTTATTATAAACCATAATTGTTGTTTTTTCTGTGTTCACAGCGAGTTTCCATTTCTGTGTGTATTTTGAGACATTATCAAGGACTTTCTGAAGACCACTTTTGGATTTAGAGAGAATAACTATATCATCTGTATACATTAGACAGCTGATTGGTGTGTTATTTAAATTTGGTGGATCACATGATTCATGGTCCAAGGTATTAGTTATGTCATTAATAAAAATGTTAAAGAGTGAAGGGCTCAGATTACAACCTTGTTCAACGCCCAGTGTTGAATTAAACATAGCAGTGCTTGTTTGTTCAATGTTTCAAAAACCCATTTGAATAGCATCCTAGAAAATTCAGATTTTTTAAGTAGGTATAGTGATTTATTTCAACATTATAAAGTGTTTTCAATTGTAAAATAAATGTTTTCCCTTCCTGCTACCTTAATGAAAATACAGTGAAGAGCAAATAGCTAAGGCTGCTATAAACCAAAACAGATGTTAGAATTCACAACAATGAATCCAGAAATGGTAATGTGACATCATTCTCATTTCTAATTAATAATTTACAATCATCACAATTTAATTTTGAAAAAGTTGGTAGTCAGTTGCTATATCATGTGAAGGCTTACACGTGCATCAAGGGTATAGTTATTGAGCTCTTGAGACAATCACTATAACATTTTTAATGTTGAAAGCCGATGATTGATAATTACAAATTGTGATGTAATACAATTTTTTGTGTTTTAATTGCCCATAAAATAGTTCTAATTTGTAGACCATTTGATGTATGAGAAATGTTCTAATTCTATGTATAATGTAAACCACTTTAAGGAGACAATTTTTACAAGTCAACAAAACTGTGTAATTTTGTAGCAGCGACACTCTCCCTGGGGTTATGAGACACCGAGTGTCGGAAATTTGTGAATGTTTCAAGAGTGTCATCGATATTGTGCTTTATTATTTCATAGTGAATGTATTTGCATGCTATTGTAATATGTTACAGGAGAAAGAGTGCATAATAAAACGCATAGTGAAAACAGAACAGAATATATGTGTGACATTACCTTGGCATGATGACACACCCTTGTTTTGGCAGAACCAATTCAGGCAGTTAATGAGACACCAATAAATGTACACAAGGCTTCATTTCAACCATAGCATACAATAGTACTAAAAGGGAGTGCTATTATCAGATGTTAGAGCATACTGCAATACTATATGGCAGATGTACCATGTAAATATTTCAATAAAACATGTCAGTTTTATGTAGCCAAATTTGGCTCAGTTAACAAGGTAAAAAAAACAGCTCAAGGGTTGACGGCTTTTTATGACTTAGCCCTGTCCACTCTGAGATAGCAGGCACCATAGATATTTTAACAACAACATACCGCATCTGCTCTATAAGTAAATGATGCTGGATTGTTAAAATATGACTTATTTGCAACAGATACACCTCAGTCATTTACAGAAGTGCAAACACAAAGTGGACAAATGGAGCATTTTTTTGACAAAGATCTGATTGACATACAACATATTGACAATATTTTTCTCAATTGTTTGTTTAATGACAAACAACATACATACAGCCAAATTCTCAGTTTTCAAATGGAAAAAAAACTCTTAAATAGACATGTTAAAACATTTTTTATCAGTTGAATTTTTTGCTGTAGAAAGAATTGCTAACACTTTGTTGAATATCACTAAAAAAAGTGTGAGCTAAAAGAACCTCCACATAGCCTGAAACAAAATTGACTTTTTGCCGTTGAGGGTGCACTGTTGTTAACAAGTCCCTGTTTGTATTATAGATGCATGATATATATATGACCTAATGTATGTGTGAAGTTTAAACTTAATTGGTCCAGACATGAATGACAAACAAGATGTCTGCCAATCAGCCATTTGGGATTTCATGGTGACAAAAGTGCATGAATGTTTGTCCAATATTATGTCTGATACAAGTTTGAACTGCATTCTTTGAGACAAAACTGAATCAGATCATGAAGGTTACACTATGTTCAATGTATGTACCAAGTTTAAACCAAATATATCCACACAGTGAAAATGGGTGATTTTGATGCATCTCTGTTATTAAAATGGTCGCCATTCGGCCATCTTGAATCAGAGCATGAAACAAATGAGGCCCGCATAGGATAGTTGTATACTACATGGAATTTTAGTGAATTTACAAATGAAGTTGAATCAGCTTCATTTTTTGGAATTTCTACACTGTGATGATTCTGTTTACTATTGATTTCAAAAACTTGACAATTCAAATTCACTCTTTTTAATTTTTCAAACTTGTGGGTACTCTAGTCATTGGCTATATAATAGCCTTGCTTTTTAAGTTTTTTATATTGTCACCTATGGTGAGTTGTAGTGACCTATGCACTGCTAACTCTCATACTATATATTTACTTTATACATTCAGCCTCACTTACATGTTCAACAATAGGAAATAATGCCATATTGAATGCAATCAATTATTAATCAAACAGCTGGAACAATTTCATTAGCATGCAGTAATTTATTACTGTATAATATGCAACACATCTTTTCAAATTGCACTGAATGTAGATTCAGCGTATCGGTATATTAAAAGTTATTCTCATCACATATCGGCATGGAAAATACACCTGTATAAACATGTAATATCCTTCTCTAATCACTCACTATTGGTGACACAACATCAATGAAAAGCATGCTTGCAACTCAATAATTTTCTCGCCACATTTTAAGTTATTCATTTGTTGATAATGAATATCATTTTCTATTGCCTACAGGATGGGAATAAAAAATAACTCACTCCACGGATTCATGTAAAAGTTCCCAATACATTTATACATTTTTTTTTTACTCTTGCTCAAATTGGCCTTTGGTGGCGCTGTTGCAAGATCCAAATTTTTACAGACAGCAAATTTTCCAGAGCAGGATTTTTCTATCTAGTTTAATTAAATGTATTTTTAAGAATAATTCTTGATTCTGTTCAACATATACTAATTTAGAAGCATCTATGGAAGCAGTAAAAACTACTTTGCATAAAGCTCTTGACAAATCTGTGGAGGAATTTTTTTTTGGGGGGGGGTCTGGCTAAAGATTACAGAGTCTCAGTTCCTTGAAGCACAAATTTCAATGAACAAATCTCTACATGTATCATAAAACTTTACTTTTGAAATATATACAGTTAATATAGAAAATTGTTCATGTTCTTTTTGCAACAGAGCTAAGTTGATCCCTTATTTTACTAAGTCCATCTAACATGGTGTCTAATGTTTCTTTACTTAATTCAACACTGAGTGAAGAGACATCGGGAACAGTATCAACTCGCTTTGCTGTCTCTTGTACCTGTATAAAAACAGAACATGCAGGTAAACAATATACCAATATATATAATCATCATTGATCAACATAATGTGAAGCAAGAGACAGGATTTAGAAGAAAATTAGGTACCTGTGGCTCACTGTAATTTGAGAATGTTACAAGAGGTCATACTCGGTAACCTTTTCACTAACAACTCATGCATGCATTTTTATAAAATGTATATCACTCAGATACAGTTGTTGTTATAGGTTTTGGGGCGAACTTGAAGGGAAAGGTATAATCCCAACTGCATTCCACTCGCAATGCAATATGGATGAAAAGTATGTAAACCATAGCTTAATGTTTCATTAAGTATTTTAATATCAAAACAAGCTTTCAACCCCAAGCTGTACTTAATGTTTTTCACAATTAGTGTGCAATTTTTAACACAATATATTTATCTAATATCATGTTCATACTAAAAAAAGTTTTGCTGGCGTAGGTTGTGCACAGTAATTAAAACAATCAGGATCTCTTAATTCTGCATTCACACCAGTGTTAACTACAGGAAAGAGTAAATATAGCAGCCAATGAATAATGAACACAATGACTTGTAGATAGGTATGAATAAAACTAAATCCGTTATTAAATTATAATGACCCTTGGTATTTAATTGTTATTCCTTGCCAGTGCATGGCTGGTATCATTTCTGATACAACTTGCATACACCTGGAAAGCCAGGGGTAAAAAATAAATAAATGCCCCAAATTATTCGCTGTCAGGAGACTAACCCACCCATTAGTATAAGGAAGAGAGAGGTGAAATTTGGTTTAGAAAAGTTTCACTGTAAAAGATTTAATCAACCAAACAATTCTGAAAAATGAATAATTATCTTCCATATTATGTTTGGTTTAGACAGGTTCCAATGTACCTCAGAAGTTGTTCAGATTAAATTCTGAATAATTTGAGAGAGCAGACAATCTGGTGATCCTCACATCACGTACAACTAACCACAAATTATTAATTTAGTTAAAATACCTTGAGTTGTAATATACACGTTGGCATTGACATACGACTAATGGTGTCTGTTGATGTTTTCAAGTCTACCCGCCAATCAAAATCAACCAGTCTTGGTAAAGAAACTGACAAATAAAGTGGAAAAAATGACATAGAAAGTATAATGTTTATTAAGCAATTGACTTTGGGGTAACCTCTGTTAAGGTCTGGGTGCTTGTAAAATCAAAATTGCCAAAACACAATTGTGATAGGAAGATGGTCACGTGACTAAACATGGAATTTGGTTTCTGTGGCAAATTGCACTATTTGTATCATCAGCAAAATCTGACGAATCTGAGATCAATTCACATGAGGTACCTTTGTGTATAAAATCAAAGCCATCAAACCAATTTTCAACAAAAAGTCAAAAATATAACTTTTTACCGAAAATTACAAAAATATTCATCAATTAAAGATATCATCATGAAATGAAAATCTAAGTGAGATCTATGTGAGAGCATATATACACCATGTATCAAAGCAATCAGATTGGTAGTTTTTAAGAAGAAGTTGAAAAAGTAATCAAAGAAAGCTTAGAAAGAACTCCCGTGTGCTGAGAGTATTGAAGACACATTAAAAAT